ATTATTTTCAGGTCTCAATTCTGGTGCGTCTAATTTAGTAAGATTGACCTCCTTTTATATTATTACCTTCAAGATGTAGATATTTCAAGTGTTCCAGTAATTGATAATTTGCAAAAAGGATATTGATAATAAAGAAACCAAAAAGCACAAGCCTCTTGGTATATGGAGAAATTGCAATTTTTAGCGCAGGTTTTGGTGCACCAAAAGCTATCGAATGATCTGGACATGACAGTTGAATATTAACCAATTCCAAATCTTCAATACCACTAAAATCGAGAAGATCACTAAATAAATGCACTCTATGTAATTTCAAAGTTTTAAGATTTGAAAGCAGGGGAAGGTTGAAAGGAGTATGATAACGTCTGCAAATTATTGAGAGTCTTTCCATATTTGGAGGAAATGTTTGAATCTCTTCCAAGTCAACATCCTCTACTTCGAAATTCTTAACACTTTCTGGATATTCTACCGGTTCATCTGTCAAATCAACACAGTTTTCAATTCCATCTTGAGTAAGATCGATGATCTTGGCTGGATCTACATTTTCTCCCAAAGCTCCATCATCATTGAAATTATTTCTGGTAATTACAACAGTTTCAAGGAAGGGATATCGGTTCAGACCAGCAATGTTAGCTTCTGGTGATATAGTTACAGTTCTAATAATGTTGCAAAATTTAAAGTTTGGATCGGAGAATTTAAATCTTATCAATATAGAATCTGGAAAGGCAAATGATAGAATATAGAGTTTAATTTCGGTTGGAAATTGCTTGAGAGAGTTGTAGAATACTTCCTCTTGATGTCTTCTTCTTGTGATTGATCGGATGGTCATGATTTTTTTTTTGATTAGTTTGTCAATTTCCAACAAACAGGTTTTTAATAGAATATATTTTGCAAAATCAACTCGAGTTGATTGTTCTAAAATTTGTGCCAAGGAACACAAAAACTTGTCAACCATTGCATCATTGCAAATTTAACCCAAACGGAAACACAGTTTTTCAAGTTGACTAAACTTGTTAAAATACTTTACAAAAGTAAAAACATTTTATTATCCCA